GATTGAACACCAAACCTATAGGATAAAGCTAGTTTGACAGCAATCGAAGCGAAGTGAACCATGAAATGATGAATTGTTACGAATCACTGTAATTGTACAGATTACCGTGAAACCAACTTTTGATCCCCTTTAGAGATGTTTGATCAACAAAAAAAACGGGAGAAGGGAATATATACAAACAAATCGATGAATGTAAATAAGATAAATAAGACAGGTCTCTAACAATTATAACCTGGGCACTGGATTTGACAGATGGCATTGGAAAGCTTCCAGGAGCAGAGATTAATGGGGTCAAAGAAACGAGAGACATCATTTGACCATGCTGCTGTCCATCTTCGGGCTCAAAAAGGCGCCCAGATGATGCATTGGTTGTTGAGCCAGACGAGTGATTCAATTCTTTCTCAACAATACGAGGGTTTGGCGATGGATTTCGTTGGTGAAGTGGTCCATCGAACGAAGGCGATGACACGAAAGAGGTCGATAGTGAGGTAGAGGAAGAAGCTGATTTGATTACAGTGGGCAAGCTGTTGCTACTGCCGCTAGTTGTACTTAGACCATAAGACTTAGATGAGGGGCTCAAAGTTGTGACGAGTGAATTGACAGCTCCAAAATCTTGAATAGGGATAATACTGGAATGTAAGGAGTAAGAGGAGGATCGGGACATTCCGTCTGGTGAAGGACGATGGCTATCTAAAGCAGTGGGAGCCAGAAGCATGGGTTCAGCCAGATGGGACACTTTGGCCCAGGGATGCAAGCCTCTGTGGAAATGAAACGAAAAACAGCAGGCATATATATTAGAGCCATCTACAAAGTAACTTAAATGGGCCGTAAAGAATAATGCTGACACTCGAGCAAAAATCCGGCAACAACCAGCACCATAAATACATTATACTTAAGTTTAAAAATCAAGTCCAGAAGGTCGTTCAAACATCCTCATTAGCATCCTAGCCTTTATTAATGATTAAATTATAGCTCATGGACTGAATAACTTGATCAATACGTTTAAAAAACTAACTAGAAAATCATATGCCCCTTTGCATCTTTAAAAGGCAATTAAATGGTTAGACATCATGATCAGATAATTCTGTAACCATGTGAGAATTGCTTAAATTTATATTATAATAATGTCCATCTTTTACATTGTCTACTATGCGATAGACGCAGGCTCAGCAAGGTTGGGCTGGAAGCGAAGAATGGTGCCCCATAAACAGTGCGAGCCTACAAGTTCCAAGTTATTTAAACGATGCCAAGCCAGAGAGTACCCAATGTCTGCTCGTAAGTTCGACCAAGTTCACTACCCACTTATAAACAAAAGAGGATCCATCGAAACTAGGCTTCAATGCATATAAAGAGCTTTAGATTCGAGAGTAATATTGGTGAGAATTGCAATAAATTCAAAATTTATTTTGGCG